CCTACACACAGTAATGACTTAAGGAGTTGGGCTACTTCCAGAGAATCTGTGTGAGTAAGTACACAGCCTTTTGCCGATTTCTGCCGCCAAACAGTACTGCATCTACTGCTATGTTCTGATCTGAAGTGTATTGAGAACAAGTGTAATTACAGGCAGTGAGTCATTCGTATAAGACCTCAGAGGTGATAATCTGTAGCTTTCTTTGTTTGAAGTCGGTAGCAGATGCCCTTGGGTTGCAGTAGCCATTTGATAATGAGGTAAGCTGTAAGTTCGTTTATCACTTCAGGTTAGTAAAATTAAAAACATCTTTGAGGGCTAAGGTAGAATGAATGCCTCACAGTCTCTAATTATACTGGTTCGCTTACTTTATAGGCAGGAACACTGCTATGGAGTCTTGTGGCATGATGACATAGAGGCAAGAAGTACCAACATAGAAGATCTCCTAGGCAGAAAAGGAACCAAACCACCTAGTATTGTCTGTATTGGATTATACCGCAGCATTGTCTTTGAACACAGGCGACGAAAATGTTATTATGCCTTATCTAAAAGGTTTTAATTATTTTATCGAAAAATAATTGTAGAGAGTTCTAGCATATTCGCATATGTATCTTTAGATTTTTTGACTGTCGAGTTGGTTATTTTGTCTAAGATCAATACAAAACAATGATGAATTTGGTTTTCGGGTGTTTTTTCTATGTATGAGCCGAGACCGTTATATTGTAATCCCTAAAAGCTTTTAAATTTCTCAGAGTATTTAGATTTCTCAGAGTAAATTAAAATAGAACAGACAGAATGCAGCATAGCAAATAAATTTTGACTAACTTATTTGAAACTGAAGTAGAGTTTTTAATATTGCTTCATCATCGTTACCATTACAGTCGATCCAAAAGGTCACTGTTGAACATGGACCTCCCCCAAAGAACAAGCGGCTTAGAAACCGCAATTTTTTAATTATTATTGTTATGAGGAAATTATTGTTTTTAATCTCATGTTTCACATTTCACGACACGCCAACACCTTAAGGTTAATATTTTTAATATCGCTAATATAACTTAAAAGTGGTAAATAAAGTAACGGCTTACATTTATTTGCGTCATTGGTGATATCACAGATCTCTTATTTATTTGTGAGTACTATAAAGATAAAAATTCACCGTTAAACTACAATGTGTATTGGCGAACAATTATTGTAAAAAGATTCCGAGAACATTTCATTACCAGAACGTGCGAAACGTTCTCGAATCATTTTAACAAAAACTTTTCAGAAAATTAGTTTTCTTGAGCATGTTTTTCTTTAGTAGTGTGCCATTTTGGTCCTGTTGGTTTGGTAGTGTGAATTAAGGAAAAAAAAAAACAAGGTCAACGGTATCAGCGGAAATCAAACATAGGATGTTTATAACATCACAAAATTTAACTTAGCCAGCCACTGATCTTGACAGTCCTAAGTAATTTTAACATCTAATGAGTTCAGATTGTACGTGTTAATTTTATTTTATAAAATGTCTATATAAAAGATAGTCTGTATAAATATATATTCTCAGTAAAATAAAAAAGGCACGTAAGAGAGAGATTTTTACTTGTCTTATACAAGTGTTTCAAGCTTAGGAGTAATATTTTGTAAGACTCTTGGATTGGAAAATTGAAACTCAGCTTAAATAATTCTGAATACAGTTCACACAGCACAGTTACTTGATGAATTTGTTGCTACGAGTAAGGCAATACAAATCGCTGGATATAAAATGCGTAGAAAAATTTATATTGAAAACTAGCTTTTTACCCGCGACTTCGCTCGCGTTGGCTTCAATTTAGAAATATCATTAGTACTACTCCAAATGAATGTAGTTTAATTCATGATGAACGTGTGATAGGAACTATATTCATGAACATGAGTAGATATATAGAGAAGATAGGCAACAGCATCTTTCTGATTACAGCTCAAAATAATAAAAAGATGCAGTTGGCAACCCGCCTGCCAAGCGTGGCCACAACGGCCAATATCCAACTTACTTCGTAATCTATGGCGGCAATCGAAATAATGAACGGGAATGGAAATATATAAGTAATGTAGAGGCGGCGAAATAAAAAACAATAACCCATTTCGTCTCGTGGGTATCGTAAGAGGCGACAGAAGGGAAACTGAAACAGTAGATAAGTGGCAGCATCTTCCTTATAACATTTTACATATATTTACATAAGATTTTGTTCATATATTTTACATAAGATTTTACACGTGGTAGAGCCATGCTGCAGCTATATTAGTAGTAAAGTTGTAGCACGAATGGGTCGGCTCAACCGAGGAAGGACCACATCATCACCATCATCATCATTACAGCCTTTCAAAAGTACACTGTTGAACATTGGCCTCCCCGAAGGAATGCCACAAAGCACGGTCCTGAGTCACCTGCATCCATCGACTTCCTGCATGTGTTACCAGGTCGTCACTCCATCTCGTGGGGGGTCACCCTAGACTTCACCTACCGGTACGAGGCTGCCACTCAAGAACATTTCTTCCCCATCGGTTGTCGGTTCTTCGAGCTATATGGCCGGCCGACTGCCACTTCAGCTTACTAATCTGTTGGGCTATGTTGGTTACTCTGGATCTACTGCGGATATACTCATTTCTAAGTTTATCACGCAGAGAAACCCCGAGCATAGCCCTCTCCATAGCTCGCTGAGCGGCCTTGAGCTTCCTCATACGACCAGCAGTGACGGACCACGTCTCAGATCCGTAAGTCATCACTGGCAACACGCACTGGTTGTACAATTTCGTTTTAAGGTTTTGAGGTATGTCTGACGAGAAGATGTGTCGTAGTCTCCCGAACGCTGCCCAGCCGAGTTGAATCCGTCGATTGACCCCTCGGTCGAAGTTGGACTTACCTAGTCGAACTATTTGTCCCAGGTAAACATACTCGTCAAAAACTTTGAGCTTAGTGCTCCCAACAACTACCGGCATAGGTGTGACATGAATATTAAACATGATCTTTGTTTTGTCCATGTTTATCCTAAGACCTAATCGTTGGGATACACTATTGAGGTCATTGAGCATGGTGCTTAGGTCCTCCAGCGATTCTGCTATAAGGACTACATCGTCGGCAAATCAAAGGTGAGTGATGTACTCGCCATTGATGTTAATACCGCATCCATTCCAGTCCAGAAGCTTGAAAACGTCTTCCAATGCAGCGGTGAAGAGTTTCGGGGATATAACATCACCCTGTCTTACACCTCTCTGCAATTGGATAGGTTTCGTACTCTGGTTCTGTACTCGGATAGCCATCGTAGCTCTACTGTATAAACACTTCAGCACTATCGAAGTGCTGAAGTGTTTTTACAGTACCGACAGTCAACTTGGCACCGCTGAAGGGACTGCAGCACCGCCCAAATTTCGACGAAATCAAAGTCTTTCTCCTAGTCCACATACGCCAGATATAGTGGCAAATTGTACTCCTCGGACTTTTGTACAATTTGCCGAAGGGTATGTATGTGGTCTATGGTGCCAAAGCCGTTTCGGAAACCGGCTTGTTCGGGAGGCTGGAAGTCGTCAAGTCTGCGCGCGAGACGATACGCAATGACTCTCGAAAACAGCACGTAGACGCGGCTCAGAAGGGAAATCAGTCTGTAGTTCTTCAAGAGAGCGTTGTCACCTTTCTTGAAGAACAAGACCACCGCACTTCCGCTCCACGCCTCCGGTGTAACGCCACCATGGAGGACAGAATTAAAGAGCTTCGGAAGGATTTCAAGTACCGGTCTTCCACCCGCTTTCAGAAGCTCCGCTGTAATTCCATCCTCGCCTGGGGCCTTGCCGTTTTTAAGGTGCTAGAGAGCCATTCTAATCTCGCTCAGACTGACGTCCGGGATATCTTCGGAATAGTGTGGGATAAGACTCGCTCTTGGATCGTTACTAACATTTGCGTGTGGCTCCAACAATGACGTGTACAGCTGCCCATAGAACCTCTCAATTTCACTCAAAATCTCAGGTGCCCCGGAAACGATGCTGCCACATTCGGTCTTCAGCTTTGACAGTTGGCTCTTTCTGGCAGACAGATCTCTGGCAAAGACTTTGGAGCCTTGGTTCCGCTCGATCGCTTCTTCAATATAAGCTGTATTGAAGTTGCGTAAGTCCCGCCGCATGCATTTGGAGATCTGTCTGTTCAGCTGCCTGTATGCTGACAAATCTGTTGAAGAATGTAGCTTCATCTTTCGTCCAACAGCCCTGAGATTGAGAGTGTGATCGGAGAGTTTTTGTGTTCGTCTGCGGCGGGTCTTGCAGAACTTAGCTCCGACCGCATGGATAGTTTCCACGAGCTTGTTATTCATATCATCCACATCATTGCAGTCTTCTTGGCACTGAAAACGGTTCTGTAACTCGAGCTGAAAGGTTTCGGGACTTTGGAACAGAGCACGAGGGGGACAGAGCGGTGACTTCATTAGACGAGACCTCTCCAACGTAACGTTTAGGTTCAGTGTGCCTCTAAACATTCGGTGATCGCTACCAGTTTTCACCCTCGCGATCACGGAGACATATCCTCGTAAGGCCCAACCTAAATTTAGGTCGATATACATTACGACCCAACGTACTAAAAATAGGTGCAAGTAGTTGCGGCCCAGAACTTTGGTTAAGTACAAAAGTGTGTAAATGTATTACTTTTGGTCAAATTATTTTAAGGGGTATTTCCTATACCTAAAGTTACCTATTTCACGCAAAAAATATGTTGAAATAGCTTGTCCTTATTTTAGGTCACTGGGCCACTGTTTAATATATAACATTAGTTTGAATCAATCAAATATATTCAGTTATTTATCATTGAATAGCAAATTATACCAGAAATAAAAATAAACTTTGTAAAAAAAAATATTTATTATTTTCTTCCTTCATTTTAAACTTTATTAATTAATAATTTTATGTAACAAAATTACAAAATTTTCTAAATCAGTCTCATTTTTAGCAAACAATGTATCTTCGCATTACACATGTTAATCATATTACTAAAATAATGTTCTTACTTACTATAATCAATGGCAATATTTCTAATAATAATATTCAAGTTGTCGTATCACACACAATACTAATTAGAAATATAGATACTTAAAAAAGAAAATTTTAAACAAATGTATCAATCAATAAATCTCAGTGTGGAAGTTATAAAAACAATTTCGCTCTTTAGTTAGGCACAAGTGAATGTTGCACTTCTTGCATATAATTGTGCTTTTCTTGTTGCATCCTGGTCTTCTGCACCTGTTTTGAACTTCTCCAGCCGACGGCAAATGGAGTGCACCATGAGTTCTTGAACTGGCGCTGGGAAGCGGTACAGCTGGTCTAGAGCGTTTAGGTCGAGACTGTTCTTCGTCTTCTGTTTCGGAACTAGTGGTGAAATTAGCAGTTACTAAAGTTTCGGCTATTTCCATTTCAAAACACCTCAGTTGCCTTTGACGGCTCCGTGGCGCAGTGGCTTAGCAATGAGTTGCTGCGCTGGGGGGCGCGGGTTCGAATCCCGCACGGAACAAGTATTTGTATGGCCTACAAATGATTGTTCCGGGTCTGGATGTTTGTCCTTGTGAAATTTGTGTTTGTAAACTGCCTCCACGATACAGGAGAAAATCCTAGTGTGGGGGTAACGTTTTTCTAAAAAACAAAAACAAAAAGTTGCTGAATTTTTTTCACCGGGACATTTTTGCGTAACTCTTTTGCTTTATAATTTAACCATGAATTAGCTGTAGCCAAATCAAACATGTGTGCGATAAATCGCGTTGTCCATTTTCTTGTTCGATATCTCGACGGCGCCACAGCTAAGAGACGATCAGCAAGATCGACTCCTCCCATATTAGAATTATATTGTTTTACTACTTCCGGTCTTGGTACAGTAATATACACTTTACTCTGTTTACACCATCTTTGGCAGGTGTCGGAAGTTTGGGCAGCATGCACAGTAGACAGGAAAGTGACAGGTTTGTTATCAAACCATTTAGTTATAGCTATATTCTTCTCATCGTTGACCAATACCTGACAACTCCCTCTCCCTGCTTTCTTTAAGTCTTTGTCCTCTTTGAGTATTAATCTTGCGGACTTAGGTACTCTATTCTTCATCAATGTACCAGCGCACATCAGGCCTCTGTTTTTTAATTCCACAATCAGTGTCTCGGTGGTAAAGTACCTATCACAGTAAATTAAATGTCCCGGCAACAAATCCTCCGTTAAGGCAAGAACTGCCTTCTCTCCCAACCCGAATGATGTATCAGCATAAGAAGGATATGTAGTCGCCCCTTGATATATATCAAAATCACACACTTCTCCGGTGGGATTTGCCAAGACAAAAGTTTTTAAACCTGTAGGATTAGGTTTAGCTGGGCAATATTGCTTCATCCCACAGGCGCCCGTAAAAGGAATTATCATTTCGTCAATTGACAGTTTTTGATCCTTTGGTATGGAATGACAACCCTTAAGAATTTCTTTGATAAGAGGGCGAACTTTCCAGAGCTTGTTTTTACTTTTATCGAGTCGTTGTCATTAACGAGTTTTAAAGAATTCCGAAGAATGAATAATCTGTTCCGAGACATATGATCAGCTACAAAAGCGACACGAAATTTGTGTTGCCAGTACATTCGGAGAATTGGATATCCAATACAAGACATGGCTAAATTAATTGCAATAAAAATGTAGCACTCGGAAAGTGTCAAATTTAAAAACTGGCCGATTCTTGATAGATACATCTCATTGGATCTATCTACGATAATTTGCATCAGCTCATCATTTACGTATCGACGAAAATAATCAATTTTACAGAATTCTTCGTCATCAAGAGGTAAATACGATGGCTGCATAAAAGGAATTATATCAGGATTAAAATCTATTTCTTTCCAACCTCCAAATTATCCATCGTCATTGCCAATATCCTCGTTATCTTCAGCTTCTACTTGCTGGTACAATCTCCCACGAGATGAACTTGCTCTTCTACTACTTGCTCGAGAAATCGAAGAAATTCTTCGACCACGACGGCCACCTCGCCGCTGTAAGCTCCTCCCTCGCGTAACAGAAGAATTAAAAATCGCAGGACTTGAAACTGTAAGCTCACCTTCAGAATCAGAAGACGATTCTGCTGAATTGTCCGATTGACGATTTCGGCCCTGAGGTCGATAATCCACATCATCGATATCATCATCGCCGTCATCATCTTCGAACTCGGATACGTCCAGATTAAGCTGATTTTCTATAGCTTCGTCGTCCATGGCTTAAACAAAAGAAAATAAAGTAAACACCCAATGTCCTAAAATCATGACATAGAAATTAGGCTAACTTTTACAATAAAAACCCACCGACCTTATTTTGGGACATAGTTTTTATCGTTCGAATATTACGGAATTAAAATGACTTTGCTATGAAAAAAACATGTCGGAACAAAATATAATATATCCGCAACTGTTTGCAATACATTTTAGACATCACCATGTTATGATTATAAAGATATGAATAGATTTACTTACCAATCTCCACGAGACTTCCGTTCACATGAGATGAAATGTCAAAAAGACAGATTCTTGGTTCTTAAATGTCAAGTTGACATTGCAAAAATTAGAGATGCGTTCATAGTTAATAGTTTTTTGATGGCAGATTTAAAATGGCGGGATTATTTAAACCAAAAATTACGTTCAAATATCATGTCATAATTTTAGGTCGCCGGGCCGCAATTTGACGATTTTAAAAGCTGTGTTGGGCCCGAATGCCAAAATATTTTTGTCATTAAATTAGGTCATTGGGCCTTACGAGGATATGCCGAGGTTGGTGCGTAAGCCTGTATGACAATCAGCGAATACCCTTTGGTGATTCTGAGTATAAGGTACGCAACCCTCGTCGACACACTCTCAATCTTTACAACGTTGTTAACGAGAGACTTGTAGAAGATAAATCCGACACCTCCTTGTGACAGATGGTCGCCTTCTCCGTGATAGAGCAAGTTGCCGGATTCGAGGATTACCGTCCCCTCTCTTCGGACCTCCGATTATCCTATAATATGCCAGCGTAACTTGTCTATCTCTTCTTCCAGCTCCACGATCTTCTCGTCAAGAAGGACCACGCTCTCACAGAATACCAGCATAAAATAGCAGCTTAATACAGCTGTGTTTCGTATGGTGAGTGTAGAGAACCGGAGACCCTTTTTGCTGGAAAAGAGGCATGCCATCTTAGTCCTCACGGGTGACAACGCATCTGCATTTTGATTCACAAACGTGGATAGATGTAGATGTTTATGGGCCACAGCAACCATTTACCATCAGGTGGACTGTGTGCTCGATTGTCACCCTATTCTATAAAAAAACAGTGCAGAGTAATAAAAAGCTGCAGCTTTCATCCCACTTGCCAAGCGTGGATGCTACTGCAAATATCCAGCCTATTTGACAAACAATAGGAAGCCTTTGATCCGCAGTGGATAGGCCTCTTAAAAGTAAAAAGGGGGACAGGCCGTAGCGAGTTTTAGAACTAAAAAGAGTTGATTGAGTTGACTACAACGCGGGCTTACGTACTATGAAATTTACGTTTGGATCGGTTCGGTTAACGGATAACTTCCAAGATTCTATCAATGCAGTACTACTCATAATTAAAATTAAAATAAACATGCATTTCAAATTTGCTGTCTTTGATATTTATAGTACTTTTTCGCAAGAGCCTGTTCATTTACTGATATCAGTTTTGAAACCGGGATTGTCACAAAAATCTCAGTAGGTAGGTACTCTTATGTCTAAAAATATGAAAGCTATCTTAATATATAACAAACTGTTTTATAAGTCTCATTGAAAGAAAAAAAATAAAGAAGCAGCTTACATACGTCTTACAACTGTGCAAAGAGCTGCTAAACACTCATGTGCAAGATAGTGGTTTCCCATGTCCCAAGATTTTCTTTAAAACTACTTAGACATCAAGTTTTCGCCGCTAAGTTATTCTTTACGCAAGTTGACCACGTGGAAAATAAACATATAAAATTTCATTACCAGTTGCATTAGTCCTCGCGGGATCGATTCAGATTTCTACTGCCAACAACGAATGAGACTCGAGCAAGAAATTGAGAAAAAACGGCCGAAATTGATCAACAGAAAAGGAGTGGTCTTTCGTTATGATAATGCCAGACCACACACATCTTTGGCCACTCAGGAAAATTTTTTTTTTTTATAGGAGAGGGGGCAAACGAGCATGCGGCTCACCTGATGGTAAGTGACTACCGCCGCCCATGAACAACCGCAACACCAGGGGAATGGCAGATGCGTTGCCGGCCTTTTAAAAAGGAGTAGGCTCTTTTCTTGAAGGTCCCTAAGTCGTATCGGTCCGGAAAAATCGCTGGTGGTAAACTATTCCACAAGGAAGTTGTGCGAGGAAGAAAACATCTTCTAAATCGCACAGTGGTGGACCGCCAATCATCCAGATGGTGTGGATGGTATCGGGAGTTCTGCCGCGATGTGTGTTCGTGAAATTTGGCGGCTGGGATTAATCCGAACAATTCCTCAGAGCACTCCCCATGGTAAATGCGAAAGAAAATGCTAAGAGATGCAACATCTCTTCGCAGTGCCAATGAGTCGAGCCGATCGGAAAGAACTCGGTCGTCGACGATTCGAGCCGCTCTGCGCTGGATGCGGTCAAGTGGAAGAAGCTGGCACTGGGGAGCCCCAGCCCAGAGATGGGAACAGTATTCCATGTGTGGCCGAACCTGCGCCTTGTGAAGTTGCAGGCGTTGAGCCGGCATGAAATACTGTCCCGCTCTACTGAGCACGCCAAGCTTTTTAGGGGCCAATTTGGCCTTCTCTTCCAAGTGACCACGAAACTGCACGCTACTCGATATGTCGACGCCGAGGATTCCGATACTACAAAATTGATAAAGATTTGTTGGGAAGTGTTTATTTATCCACCATATAGTCCTCCTTGCACCCTCAGATTTTCACCTGATTCGGTCACTTCAGAATTCTTTGGGTAGTGTTACGTTAACATCGGGAGAGTACTGTCAAAACTACTTCTCGCATTGTTTTTTATTTTATTTCAAAAATCACAAGTCCTACCGCAAATTTC